CCGGCCCTGGGGGGCGGCCCCCTGCCCGGGGGCGCCAGCCAGCTGGCTGGCCCCGCCCTGACAAGCAGTCCCAACCAATTCCCTGTTGGGTCCTGCCCCTGCTCGGGTCCTATTGGGAAAATTCAATTTTTTAGGTCCCGCCCCCGCCAAACTCCTGCCCGGCACTGTCTAGGAATGTTGGGTAGTGTAGTCTCTGGGGCTGCTGCCGGGGTGTCCTTGACCTCCTCGGGTGGGCTTCGGCAGGACGCAGGCTCTAAGCCGAAGTCCAGGAAGGTGCCACAAGCTGGGCAAATAGCCTGGGATCGTGTAAGCCCTGAGAGGTCCGGACAGGCCCTTCCCTCCCTCCTCTTTGTTCCTGAGACCACATCCTTTCTCCGGACTCCACCCACTACTGGCTCCAGTATACAGGCTTGCTCCGCCAACGCTCACAGAGCGCTTTCGGGACACCTGGTCTTTGCCGTCCCAGGGAAAGCACTGGGTGACTAGCAGCATCTTGACCTTGTATCGAGTCGCCAAGGACCCTCTGAGATGGAACAGGATCAATCATATCGGTAGTTCGTCTCCCCCTGCCCATAACAGCATGCTCTCCCAAACCCTTTAAAGTCTGCCTCTGGGAGCCGGGTAGTCCTAAACAGGGACTATGAACTTAACAACCCTCAAGAAAACAGAAGGCTCCAAAGAGCCAGATATTCCCAAGATCAAATAAGGAGTCAGCCAGAAGACACAAGAGTTCAGACCCAGTCGAGAAAGCCACCCCGCACGTCCGGCCCTGGAGGCTGTGGAGCCGCCCTACCGGTCTTGGTGGAGACAAAAATGGGGTGGAGCCTAAACTGGGATGGAGCCTGGCCAGATAGTCTGGAATCCTACTTAATAAGTAAAAACTGTAAGTCAAATAAAAGCTATAAAGCACCAATTTATTTATTTTGTGTGTGTCGTGTGCCAGATTATAATATCCATAATAAATAAATGAGATTTGAATTGTCCGACTATACAGATGAGGACAAAAGCCTATAGATAACCGGGCTGCAGTTCATACCACCTAGCCTTGATTCTAATCTGCGCTTCTAATCTCTATAACGTGGAATTGTGGGAACTGAGGTGGGTCCTGTTGTCTCTGAGAGCTCCAGGTCATATGTCTCCAAGACCACCCTATATACACCTAAAGAAAGTCCCTGCGTCCATACCGAGAGTCTTTTCTATGTGTCATTAGTTTCCTCCCACCCCTCAAGAGATGGTCCTTTCATCTTGTATACTGGGAAGTGAGATCCAGAGAAGGAAGCCACTTGCGGGTGAGGCAGAAGTACCCAGCGTGGAGGTTGGTGTTCCAAGCCCTTTCCACTTGGCCTAGATGCCAGCTAACTCTCTAGAACCAAGGCAAGATCAGGAGTACTGAAAACGTTTCATCCTTGGGGACCGACCCTTCCCTCTGGACACACCTAAGTCTCCGATCTGCTTGGGTGGGAGCTGTTTGCACCAGTGAACCGCCTGCTCGGCGCTAAAGACCAGACCTCCCATTTAGAGCTTGTGCTCCCTCACCCTGGCCTAGGCATGTCAAACCCTGGCGGGCCTCCAGGCTGACCGACCCTGCCTCTTTTTCTTCCTTCTTGCAAAGGATGGTGCCATGCAAGGGGTGTCTGGTGGTGATGGTGGTGATCTGGGAATCAGAGGGCGACCCAGGGAAGGTGGTGAGGAATTTTATAACCAGAGGCGGGGAAGAGGAATGTCCAGCAGGCACTCTATGTCAGATCACCAAGATAACCACTATGTGAGATAGCCTGATTCTACAAAGAGAACACCGAGACCCAGGGAGGCAAAGGAGCCATCAAGGTGGAATTCTGCCCAGAGCCAAAACACCTCTCCTAACCTTGTTGTTTCTAAGATGGAAGAAATCTTGGAGGGCTTCTCCAAGGTGGTGATGTACTAAATTTAATTGAAGATGAATACAAAGAAACTCATTCGATGGAAGGACATTTTTTGGAAGAGAACATGTATGAGCAAAGGCTGGGAGGCTTGTGAGCCAGAAAAGGAGGTGAAGGGGCTGTGGGTAGAGTAGGAAATAAGGGTGGTGCTATTTGTGAAGAGCTCTGAGTGCCAGGTGAGAAGGATGAATGCATTTTGAAGGCACCTGGGAGGCCTGAGTTTCTATGTGCTCAGTTGTAAAAAAAAAAACGCAGGACTGACTGATGACTGAGTGACTGGCTCCCAGTCCTCCAAAGTGCTATAACAGGAAAGCTCTAGATTCTTCCATATCCAACCCCATCCTGGCAGAGTTGGGGAGGAGTGGCTGAAACAGCTCATGGGCCAAGGGTAATATTTTGCTCCAAAGCCCAAGTCCAAAAATGATGATTTTTACCAAGCTGGCAGCGTTGGTTCCCTGACTCACTCTGGCTTCTCTCCCACACCCCCCATCACACCTGGGGCCAAGCAAGAGGCAAGAAAAGTTATGTTTTCTGG